ACTTTCCCATCCAGTGAAGCACATGCACAACAGCTACTGGGCAAAAGGGTTTCCCATTTAATATTAATCACTTTGTCATGGTGTCCAATAGTTCCTGTACTCAGGATGATAAGCCCATCATGGTTTCTTGTTCTTGCTTGGAGGGCAAGAGCGAACCATAGCTTGACAGCATCATTTGGACACCAGAGCAAACGACAGCTAGAGCTAAATAGGAAAACAAGCATGAGGGGAGAAAAATGAAGGAGACAAGATCCCATAGCTCATTTCTAAACCATGATTTGAAAAGTTGTCTGAACTGAACCCTAGCCGTGTTCAGAGTTAACACCGCTGTTCCAACGGCAAATGAGAATGAATACTGGGGGGCTTGTTCATACATATTATGACTACTGGAATTGCTAAGTATATCTATTATTTTGCAGGTTCGCACATTACATTTCTCAACCCTGAGAAACTCAGGAGTATATGTATTGAAGAAAAATGTAGTGTGTTAACTGCCTCAGCTATAGGTTATTATTGACCATTTGGTGACTTGCATAGCAAGATGGAATACCAGCAATCCAGTTCTTCTCAGCTGAAACCCCTGGAAGACTTGAGTCAAATTGCAAGGTTTCATTATTTTCAATAGAGTCATCAACATACTTCTCATTAGGGAAGGGGTTAGAAAGAAAGTAGTGTAAGAGGCTGAATAATGATGTTATAATGGATTGGGAGGAGGGATATTCATAATTTTCAATAATCTGTTCCTTAAACTTTCACGTGACTGGGTTAAGTCTGATTTTATAGCCAAGTTGCGTCCTAAAGCTTACAGCAGCCTAAAGCTACCTGTTATTATGCTGTGTATTATAAATGCACTCCCTTGGGTGCAAAAAATAGAATCTTAAGGATCTGTTCTTCATCTTATTGCTGATGGCTTATTCTCTCTAGTTATTGCAATGCTTTTGAAATTATGTAATCAGAACACAAGCGCCTTCTTGTTCATATCTAATTCATATCCATGAAATCATGTTGTTAAACTGGCTTAAATGTAAAGCGCTACCACATCTTATTGCCTATCCATTTTTTCAAAAATATATATATATATATTTATTACATCCTTCTCTTTTATTTAAAGTAACCCTTGTGTGTCAGAAACTTGCATATCCAACACATACCATTAGTGCACATTGGGAAAGGCTACTGACCAGCGCCTTTTAGAAATTTGGGCATCATGACAAAATTTCAACCCGTTAACCTGTCATGGCTTTTCCCAAGGAAACATGGGAACTGTAGTTTGGGAGGAGCCGATGCATAATTCTTTGCCAAAAATCCTTGTCACCCATTTTAGAACTACAATTCCCATAATTCTTGTGTGGAGAAGGGAACAGAACCACAACAGCAAAATCTATTTATATTTGCAGTACAGACATGCCCTCAGCCTTTCCCACTTGAACGGTTGTCATATTCTAGCTGGGAAGGTACCTGGATGGGCAGGAGGGGACAGCAGATTAAAAACCTGTCTTCCTTCTCAGAATAAGATAAAGTATTTTTAAGACATTTTTGCTCACCCAGTCAGGGGAGCTGAGTTGTTTTCATCCACTCTCGTTTGGGTCCCTTCTGAGTAGCACTACCTGCTGCTGTTCTTTTACTGTAGGGCAGCTCTGAACTATCCTTTTAGTTTTCTCGTTGTCATGGTAAGCTTTTTCTTACCTGTTTGATGGACTACACATGAAAAACCTTCTGCAGTTATGAAGATTTCAGCTGCCTACATCCCTTGAATTTTAAAGCAACAACAAAAACTGCAGCCTACTAGGACTCAGTCCTAACACAGTTTGACAAAAGTGACAATTTAGAATGGGTTAAGCAGTGCACGATGGCAATAACCACCTTATTTAATTCATCATACACTTTATTTACTAACAGCTTGTGCTTTTCAGGGACAGAGAGGAAAAACCTCAGTGCTATCCATCTCAACTATCCCCCCCACCCCCACCCAAAATCTCCCCCCTTGCTATTAAGTGTTAATTAAGTGTTCAGATTTTTTTGAAGTGTTCAGCCTATTGATCTAGTAAGAGTAGCAAGGTTATTTTCCTGACAATTTCTGCAGGATAGTTGCAAATAAAGGCGGTTCAAACGTCACAAAAATGGGGACAGGCAGAGGGCAAACTCTTTTAGTGTCAAGTACATGTAAATATCTTATTTTGCATTTTGATCTTGTAGCCATATCTGAAAGAACCCGCCTCTTTGTCACACCAATAAATAATGCAGAGTGGATTTTTTTTCCAGGCTGGGAACATCACCGCCTTCCAGTGCTACTACTGTGTTTCACTTTCCAGTCAGGAGGCGAGGATGCTTCTCCTAATAATGTCTGTCCTCCTAGCAATCGTGCTGTTTGAACCAAGCCTTTGCTGCCGGCATTTGTTCTCAACCACCTCCGTTTCTGAATCACTCATTTCGGCATCAGGGGCATACCCGTCATTCTCGCTGTCCACCTTTAGCTTGTTTTTTGCCCTGTCCTTCGGTGAAACTCGACCCAAGCCCGAGTAATGGTAGTTAGAGTTTTGTCGGCACGTCTCCTCCTGCCCCTCTTCTTGCTGTTGCCTCTCCCCTTTCTTTGGAATTCGGAATCCTCCCCAGTTTTTCACAGGGCTTCTTGGTGTTGTAGGCACTTTTACTGGGGTCGGGTGATAGTTTATTTTGCAAAAGGAACCATTGTATTTAGGCACCATTTCCCTCCTGGTTCCAGGCGCTGACCTCCCACTTGGGTGGTTCACAGCCTTTTTATTTTCCAGTTGTCTCTGAGACAGTTCATTAGATCTCAGTGGTTTGGGGATGTGCTTGGAAGGTTTTTCCTTCAGTCCTACCTTCATCACATCACAATAGGAATGATTGTCTCTTCTCTTCCTGTGATCTGCTGTAACAACCCCATTCTTCTGTTGTGCTGATCCAATTTGTGCTTCTGCAAAGGTCTTTTCAAAGCTGAAAAAGCTAGCTGGAGTTGCGAGGCCTTCCCTTTGGCTGGGCTGCTTGAGCAAAGGTTTGTCATCATGCCTCATTCGTTCTCTTTTCTGTGTCTTTTTCAATGTATGGCTCAAAGACATGCCCATTTGCTTCCTAAAGAAAGCTGAATGCCACTTCAAATCCTCTATCTTAGGTGCATCTGGTCCCGACGGTGAACTGTTGAAGAGCACCATATTTTCCATACTAGAAAAGGAGGAGGGCATACCTGGAAAGACACAAAAATCATGTTATGGATGGTTACCCAGAAGCTGACTGCATAAGTTTCACATCTTATACCACCTTTTATAAAACTATGGGTTAGCTAAGGAGTCCCCAACGAGGTGCCCTGGTGCCTTGACACCTTTCCTGGTGCTCTCCAAGAGTT